GGATTCAGGGAGTGTTTGCAGCCGGTCCGAGGTGATTTCCAGCGTTGCTGGGCCTGCTCCAGCCGCGCTGAGCAGGTAGATGTGCAGGGTGCCCCACGGGAGCTTCACGAAGGTGATCGGCTCTGGAAGAGGTCTGCGATGCTGTAGAGCAGCGCGGGGGCTGGCCCCCGGCTGAGACCCCGGAGCTGCCTTTGTCCTCCATCCTCTCTGGGACTGCCAGAGTGGGGATGCCTGTGTGTGGCCCGCACCCTGGTTAGGGGTGCATGGGTGCTGGTGGGGAGCTCGGGGTCCCAACAGTGTGTCAGAGGTGCGTGGTGACGGTACCTTGCCAGCCCACGCGCTGCTGCCAAGGCCGAGGGGCTGTGCCCTGCCCCGCTGCCATTACCGCCTCTCCCCATCCAAGGGGAGGTGTGTGCATGTGTTGTTTTCGTCCTCAGCATCACTTAAGGTGCCACAAGCTGTTGGGCAAGGACTGCCCTTAAGCCGTGCTTCTAGTGGCTTCACCCGCCTCAGAGAGCAGCTTTGGGCTGGGCAGGACCCCTACCACCTCCCACCGCGGTCGCTGGGGTCCCGGGCAGCGCTGTGCTGTGTCCCCTGCATGGGATCACACTCCCACATGCAGCACAGCTCGGCATCCACATCCCAGCAGGACCCTGGGGTCCCTCTCCAGCCCTGCCACCATTCCCCACTCATCAGGGAGACCCCAAGACCCGGCTCCTCGGCAGCCACAAGAGAGGTGTCCTGCGAGGGGCCATGGCGAGCATGCAGAAGGGTCCCTCTCCTCTGTGCTCCCTCCTGCCCCAGCGGAGCCATGGCCTCTCTACTGGCCTGGTTCCTGCTATTGATCTCTGGCTTGGAGCACGTGGCAGCACCTCGGAGCAGAGGGAGGCATTTAATAATGTCAGGCGTGGATATGGCTCTTTAATAATGGATGCTCCTGTGTCTCGGCCAGGCCACGGTCTCTCCTTGCCTGCGCTTTCTGTTTTCCCAGGCCCTGTGGGAGCCACAAAATGCTCTTTCTCCCACCCGTTGCTCATATTCTTGTGGGGCCACTTGCATGTAGGATTTGTGGGATCGGCAGAGGTTGGGGGGTGGGAGCGGGATACGGAGGCAGGAACCCACGTGTGTGCATGCTGGAGAGGAGGCAGGGGCAGGAGGGGGCCAGATGGGTCTTTGTGCTCGTGCAGTGGGTTGAGTCCAAGAGCTCAGCAGGATGGTGGGGCAGGCCCAGGATCTGAGCTGGGGTTTGGCTGCCTGAGCTTGCGAGGAGGATGGTGTTTGGCAGGGCAGCACAGGACCTGCTTTCTTCCCACTTCCCTTGTTCCTGCTGTTGCTTTCCATGGCCATGGGCACTTGCGGCTCCCTCCTCCATGTGGCTGCTGGGTCCTGCCTCATTCCAGCCTTGGTTGGCGTGGGGGACGAGGAGGGGACCTGCACATCTCTGTCCCTACGCAGGTAGCTCAGCCCTGGTGTGCAGCCGAGCCAGGGCCAGGCGGGATGCTGAGGTACCAGCACAGGCATCTGACTGTGTTCCCAGCGTTAAAGCCAAAAGGCTCAGCATGTCTGAGCCCTGGTGTCCCAAGCTCGCCCCTGGGTTGAGCCTTATCCCACTCCAGCCAAGCACTTCTCTCGGAAAGGCTGTCCGGAGAGGACAGGAGACACCAGTGATGAAAAGCTGCCCTTTTCCCTGGGGATTTGTTCCCAGCTGATCCCCTGCTGTGCTGCAGAGCTGTGCTGTTTCCCTCTGGAGCAGCTGGTTCCCATTGCCTTTCCCTGTGCGATTTCAGAGGCGCCAGGCCCACCCGTTTTCTCAGGTACACGGGCATTGCAGCGAGCTGCCTCTCCATCTCCAATAGACTGAGCAGATTGAGCCGGGTGTGTTTGTGCCAGACATTTTCTCCAGCCCTTAAACCACTGTTGCATCTCTTCCCCAAATCCCTCTTACTTTCCTGTGTGCGGTCTGCAGCAGACGCGGGGGCTGCGGGCAGCATCCTGGCTTCGCTCTCCTGGGGGCTGTATCCGGACGTCTTCGCTCGTCCTACTCTGCAGCTTATGCCCCGCTGTTGCACATCCTCTTGGAGACGCTGCTTGCCAGGGCACAGCCGTTTGGTGTGCCAGCGCTCCATTTCCATGGTGCCGGGGGTAGGGGGGGCGGGTCGCGGCTCCCAGCGTGGACAGAGCTGGGGAGAGGGCTTCGGCGCCACTCCTGCCTGCCCATCTCTGCTCGCTTACCCACCAACCTTTGAGATTTTGTATTTACTCCCAATTTACCAATGCAACTAATGACACAACTCCCTCCCTCTTATCTGCTGCCCTTCATCGTGGACCTTGCCTTGTTTTACAAAGGAGGGTGGAGCGGCATGACATAGATGGGGAAACTAAGGCAGGCAGGGAGGAAATGAACTTGCTGAGGTCAGCCAGCCGCCGCGAGGCGGAGAGCAGCCCCGGCCCCGCTGTCGCCGCTCAGGAGCCCCGGGTGCTGGAAACGCGTTGTGCTGACTAGCCTGGGACCTGCCGGCACCTCTCCTGCGCTGTCATGGGGCGTGCTCCGGGATTGCCTGTGAGGACTGGCGATGCCCCGGCTCCCAGTGTGCCCACAGTCCTGCACCTGGGAGTGCGGGAGGTGAGGTGCATTCATCGGGAGTGGGTGCTGCGTGCCCTGCTGCTTTCGCTTCCCTGGAGGAAGTCTGTCTTGACCGATTCCGCCTTTTCCACGTGATGAGCAGATTTTCCAGTCCCACCCAGTAGAAGACCTGTTGCGCTACTGGGATTCCCGTGAGCTCAGGCACAGCTGTCACAGGCGGCTATGGGATTACCAGTGGCGTTGCTAGCTTCCTTACCTGCCCTCCTGTCTTTCCCCACTGGTCTCCCCAGGGCAAGGGGTGCAGGATGATGTCCCTGTGTGACTGTGCCTTGCCTGTGCCTGGCTGGTGCAAGGGGATGTGCCCTGAGTGAGGTGATGTGCGAGTCTGTCCCCGGCATGGGGTGCAGGGGGGCTGGCTGCTGACACCCCCATGTGGGGGGACTAGTGGGGGGCCTTCATCCCATGTCTAGACAGGAGAACTGGCTGCAGGGAGGAAGCAGGCTGTCTGCTCGCTCTGATTAGCATGCTCTTTAAATAAGACTGTAATTTTCGCTGTTAAAAGAGCTCAGATCCCTTGTGCCCAGGCTGGGGCCGCAGCCAGCCCAGACCCATCCCCCATCCCCGCGCGCTGGCAACAGATGGGATGGGGACCAACACGCCACAGCACCCCGGCTCGGCCGTGGTGCCCAGCGAAGCACCCAGTGGAGGGGCCAGATGGGGTGCTGGGGGCCATTGGCGAGGGGCAAGGGCTTGCCTGGTTCCTGGGTGGGGGCCAGCGGCTTGTCCTCCCCCCGCACCCCGGTGCGGCTGCCCAGCTGAGCTCAGCTCCGGGGAATGCGCTGGGATTCCTGGGCGCCATGCCAGAGCGTGAAGAGGCGAGGGGGGACACCGTCCTGCCCAAGGAGGCTCTGCTGCCTGCTGCCTTCCCCAGATAGCGTCGGGGAAGGAAACACTCTTAGCAAGGGGCTGCGTCCTACCTGGGGTCGTGGCTTGCTCCCTCTTCTGCTATGCCTGCTTCTGGAAGGCGGCTGGGGTGCTGGGCTGGTGCTAGCACCTGGCTGGACTGAGTAAATTGGCCAACACATGTGGGAGGCCGTGGGAAGCCCAAGGAAGAGTAACCCCTTCCCTGCCAGCCCCGGCAAGGGGCTGGGCTCAAGCCACGGCGCTTGCAGGGGAGACAACAGGCCGGGGCCTTGCAAGCAATC